GCGGAGCTGCTTGGGATTTACATCTCCTGCTGCCCTTTTCTTGCTCTCAGATGACCGCTCTGTTGGTTGGTCAAATAAAGCGTGATCCTTTCCACTCTGCCTCTGTACCCAAGATGGGCATACTCGAAGATTTCTTCCATCACTTTCCATCACTCACTCCTCTCAGTGTTCTCCTCCCAAAGAGTCAAACTCCAGCCAGCCTTCAGATCAGAGAAAGCCAACACTGACCAATGACCAAGCGAGATTGGAGGTTGGGTTTCTTCTATGCTCTCTAAGAGCATAGGTGCTTGGACCTCATAAAACTTATCCTAGCATGTAGTTGTAACAGCATGAGTTATAACAGAATGTTCTCCCCCCCAATCATGTTATTTGGGGCTTGCTGTACACCCACCCTAGAGCTTAATATGTGGTAACACATTAAAGAGCATTGTCTCAATTGCTTCATTTTGAACAAAAATCTACCATTCGGGAAAACAATCTGCAAGATCTCAAGCATTGCTTGTTTTTGTGCTTCCCAAGGTCACCTTGACAGGCTGGATGATAAAAGAGGTAAAGATATTTAAAGCAGATTCAGTCACTGTTCCCAAGTATGCCTTCATTATCAAAGGGTTGAAATGACACCATCTTAGACAAGCCACCCTTGGAGATTCACATGCTTTACATAAGCCCTGTGAAGAGCACTGCAGAAAGCGATATCGTAAGTATTAAAATGTGGGGAGCCTTGCCAAGGTGGCATCAGCACATTTTTTAAAGGTGTGTTAGTGACAACTCAGAAAAGGGTTGGTGACATTCCCAGGATTTAGATAATTACAGAGTGGACCTGGCATTCCCAGACACTGATGCTAAAGGTGCCTGGGAAGGGTTTTAAGAACTTGTTTCATGAAATGTGGGAATGAAATATTTTCATGAGTGTAAAATATTGAAAATAAATTATGAGACTTTCGATATGTATGTGTGCTGATAGATGAAGTAACCTAAGCATATGTCTCAATACATTATCCATTTGTACACTTAGGCTGGCACCAAAACAATGAAGATGTCTCTGTATCCAAGGTCACCCGCACGGTTGTTACTCTGTGATGATTTGATTAATGACTATCTCCCTAAGGGCCATGAGTGCTATAAGAACGCAACAGCGCTCCAGCCTGACTTCCTGTTACAGCTGTGCATTTGCCAGGATGTGGAACACATTTGTTGTTCGTTGAGACACCAGATAAAAATACTACTTTTTTACATAATTGCTTGACCTAGAAACTCTGGAGAAACTGAAGCAGAAACTTTAACAGAAAGCATTTTCCGGAGAGATAAGACGTTTTAATATCTTTAGCCCTAGATGATTACATACATTCAGAAATGTATGAAATGTTTTTCTTTTTTTTCCTCTTTGCAAAACAAATGTTTCACATTTATGCTAACTATTTCTAGGATCACTGTTAAAATTTACTCTCAAAGTTCAAAAAAGCCATTCTAAGGGGTGTGAGACCTCATCAAGAGAACTGTGACAAGCTCTATTTCCTGAGCAGTCACACCCAACATTCCCTTGATCCTAGGTGACCCCAGGAATTGGCTGTTACTTCCAATTCACAAGGGAGTGGGGGGAAGCTGAGACTCTTGAGTTTAGCAGCCAGCCTGCAGCACCTCACTCAACTCCCATGGTAATTTTATGACGATTGTCACTTCTGCTTTACAGATGAGAAAACAGAGGCCCAGCATAGGTCAGGTTAGAGACCTGGGGACAAGAGTGCAGGGGGAGCACACCATGGGGCTGGGGGTGGGGGTGGGGCAGGGAAAAATTGGGAAACCGGCTGATCGCGTGCTGTAACTCGTGTGTTACTGAGTGAGATCATGTCTGTTTGTCCTCTCTGCTTTCCCAGTTATTTTTCCAAGGAGATTGGCCACTGTTTTAGTCGTTTTCTTGCTCATTTTTTTGATTCCTATTCACCACATCCCTAAAAGAAACGTTTAGCTACTGCAACCAGTGTACATAAGTCGGTTGCATAAGAGAAAGGAGTCAAGCCAGGACTGGAGACTTCATTTCTAAAGAAGGATTTTAAAGCCGACTGAGAGCTGTTTCACAGAGCTGGTCATGACGCCCAGTCTCTCCGTGCCTTTTCATCACTATGACGACTGGCTGCTCCCCTCCGCACGCAGGAAAAGCAGCTGACATCTCAATGCAAGAACAGAGGGGAGAGCTCGACAAAAGCAAAAAACACAAACAACTCCTTTCCTTTGAATTTCAGCGAGAGAGGAGAAAATATCCCTTGGAGGAAGTCAAAACCCCTATTCTTGCCTTCAGAAAAGATCTGAAAAGGAAAATGTTGGGGGTCTTCTCCCCTGTCCAAGTGGGCTAATAAAACAGGCGCCACTGCAGAGCAGCCTGTCTCCTGCGGCCTCCTGCAGACTGGCAGAAAGCTCCCTGGTTTCATTTGACTTGGCTGTTAGGGTGCTGCTAATTGAAGGAGCAATAAGGGGATCCCGTAACAAATATTTCCTGGGGAGGGCTCCAGGGGAACCCAGGGGGATGAGTTTTATCTTTGTATTTCTTTTAAAAAGAACAAAACAAGACAGAACAAAGCAGATCAGAGCAAAACAATGCCAGTAACACAAGATTTCAAAACAAAACACAGAAAATCAACAGTGGCTACCCTAGTGTCTCTGGGTTTCTTCAAAATCTTTGCATTTCTTTGGATTAGAAAGACAACGACTCAAAGAACATTTGTTTCCTGATTCCCCACATTACTCCCAGAGACATCATGCCAACTACATAACAGATACCTCACTGATAGATGAGGTTTATGAACAACCAATAAAATTTTCTGTGTGTCAAGTATTTTACTAGGTGCTTAATACTTAGAATACAGCTCACTTGATTCTTACAGCAACCTCATCTGCAGGTATCACGTTGCCCATTCTGCTGGATAGGTGAGTAAACTGAGACCTGGAGGTGTGAAGTGACCACCCAGGCTCATGGAGGCCGGCTCAGGCTCCAGCTATGGTGCTGGCCTCTGAAGCACCTGTGCTGTCCACTCTGCTGGGCATTGACATTTGTTACAGAGCACAATGTGTGCATTTCAGTAAGGTCAGAGAGCTAGGTTAGTACCTTCATGTTAGCTCTGATTGATTGCTCGCTTACTAGGTCCTGGGTACACCTGCTGCTTTTCCTTGATTCTCACATCAAACGCCTGGAGGAGTTACTCATTGTATGATTTCTGTTCTACAAATGAGGGGACTGAAGCGCAGACAGGGTAAGTCATCTGGCCAGAATCTTAGAGCTCTTTCACGGTAGAGTTCAGCTATAAACCAGGTCTCTCTAGTCACAAACCAGAGCCCATCTCTTACTTTATGGACCGGCTCCATCCCTTTGGTGCAACAAGTCAAGACCACATACTGTGTCTTCCGGAGTGCTGTCCAACTTTCAGTGCCTTTGACAAAGCTAGGCTAGCTCTTGGCAGACGGAAGACACCTCAGCAGACCCATAAGAGCCAGGCTGGGGGAGGTATTAAGAGTAATTTATGTGAGAGTAATGCACACTCCAAGCTTCCTTAACAAAGTCAACTGAGTTTAAAAAAAAAAAATAGTGACGAGGGAATGGAGTTGCATGGATACATCACTATGCAGTTTCATTTCTGTCATCTTATTATTTTGCCTTAGTTGAGATGTGAAACATAAGAAGTTACTGAGAGTTAAATCCAAAGGGGCAAGCACAAGAATCCTCAAAAGTTCTAATTGCCTGTACAGAAAGTCTCTGAAAGAACAAGGCATGCTTCATGAGTGACACACATGTTCTTTTCTAAATCGCGGAAGGCAATGTTACTTGATTGGATGATAAGCAGATGAAACAGACCTGCTTTGCTAGATTTTGTTGCATGATCAGACACATAAACTTACATCTGTCCCAAAAGAGTGATCTTCCTAAAAAATGTAATCAGCATTAAACCATATTTATAACCATCACGATATAACTGAGTGAGCTGTGAATGAAAAAAGCTGGTATACATGAGAACAAGGAAAATGGATATTTTAAAAAGATTTTTCTGATCCGTACTGAATGAACATCTCCGGTTGGTGTGCTGAGGCCCTGGGCCAGAGGAGAGTGCGGAGGCCAGGCCAAGGTGACACCATTCACTCCTTTGCAGATGAAGGCAGGGTCAGTGGGCTGCTCCTCCTGCTTTGCCTGATGGTTTGAAATTTCAGTTGCATCAGTGTGCAGTGGAAAGCAGGGTTTAACCCCTGGAGGGATGAGATGGCTTTATGGCCACACAGGAGGAGAGAGGGAGAAGGGACAGTACCCTCAGGAATGAGAGTGGCAAAATCCTCTTAGCTCTTCAGCCCCCCCCCCTCCCCGTTTGCTTTTCTATGTAAGACATCATTAGGAATTGGGGACATTTTATGTCTCTGGTGGTTGTCTTAACAAGTGATAGTAAGGAGGAAAACCCAATTATTTATAAGGCTATGAAAGAGAATGAGGGGAGAGATAAACTACCTTAGAAATAGGAAGTAATTTAGTATTTAAAGGATTTTCCTACCCCTTAGAAAAACAGGCTGTCCTATTTGTACGCTGCTGTTAGGTACAAAGAGGATTTACAGTGATAAAGAAGAATCTCTGATAATTTAAACACGGAAGACATACAAATTATTTGATTACAAGGTTTAGAAAACTAACTTTATGGTTTATTCAAGTATTTAGCACATTGTTTTGTAAAACCCATTTCAGGCTTCCCCAAGATATAAATACTACTGGGATAATAACAGTTCTAAATTTCTGCTCTTAGTTGTTCCTGAAACTGTCATCTACTCACATTTGCTATTTAACCTTGGAGGAGAAAAACAGAAACATGAATATGAATAGTAAAATTTTCTACTAAGTAGCTTTTCTGTAAACCACATATTATTCCTTTTATAATATTTTTAGGCAAAAATATTAAACAGTTTTACCAGATGTTGCAAATCAGCTTAATAAATGCAGTGACATAATATAGCAAATCTATTCCAACTTTTACCTTCAGGTAGGTAGCTGGACCCAGAGCCTCAGCAGAAAATAGAAGTTGGATGTCCTCTGTGCACACAGCCAGGAAATAAAAAGTCTGACAAATGCCCAAGAGAAACTCTTTAAATCCCTTCCCTCGCTGGGTCTGCTTCTTTGCCCAGGGCAGTCAAGCCCACTGGAGTTGAAATTCTGCTGCCCTGTCAACTAGTCAGGGTCTGAAGTGACAGAGACTCTGGAGCTTGGCACCAACCGCGTTTCAGACTGCTATCGATTTTGCTGCTGCGGATTCCTGGCTTTCTGCAGCAGGGGGCCTCTCCCTCCAGGGCACTGTGAGCTCTGCGTGCAGAGAGACCTAGAGGGAAGGCAGGTCTAAGCCGCTGCCGGCGTGCAGGGAGTTAACAGCCCTCCCTCCCGGCTCCTTCTCCCAGCCTCATAACTTGGCCAGAATATAAACAGTTGGCTTCTTATGCAGTTTTCTTTTTCAAACCGTTCTGAGAGATTTTATAAGCAGGATCCCTTTGGGGGGATTTTTATTTTAAGACGTTGAAAAGAAACTTCATGTCGTTGTTTCTTCCTGCAGGAGTGGAGGTTAAAGAAGAGCAAGTCGTTGCCGCAGATGTGTTTGGATGTTTCTCAATGGGAAACTGTTCCCACAGACCCAGCCAGGATTTTACGGCAGGGTACTTCAGCTGTGTGAACACTGTCTAGGAGTGCGCTTTGGCGATGTAGGTTTGTGTAGATGCCCTGTCTGCTGATTCAGGGATGCTGCAGTTCTTACCCTGTTCCCCTCCACACAGCTTCCTGCCGTAATGCAGCTTGACATTAGGTCCTTGGCAAGTCCCCCTGTGAAGCAGATGGCTTGTTTCTGACATAGCATCCTGGCTGTTCATGCCACCTCTTCTGTGTTTGCTGTGCGTTTATCGTGTGTCAGACACTGTGCTGGAGGCTTCCTATGCATGGTATCAGTTAATGCTCCCTGTGCTCCCAGCTAAGGATCAGTGTAGCACCCTGTTTAGGTCTGCAGTATTTCAGGCCAAGCAGGCCGGATTTGTACAGTGGCTTTCCAACTTCCAAACTGTATGACCCGAGGCAAGTTTTATAACCTAAGCTTCCACGTCCTGACCTATAAGATGGGGCTTCAAGCATGGAAACAGTAGCAATGTGTATTGCAGGCAGTTCTTGTGAGTATTAAGTAATTTAATACAGGAAACTGCACAGAATATCCTCAGCTACCTAGTAGGCACGCGATGAATGTTTTTAGCTACAGTGGTTTGTATAAAAGGATATCAAAGCTTGGTAAGGGTGAGCAGCTTTTCTGGAGTCTCCAGCTATACCTTGTATGGTAGGATTCCAAGCCAGATGCCTTGGTGGATGGTCTCACTTGTATCTCACTCAACTGCAACACTTCCTTCCCAGCAAGCTGTTGAGCTCCTTGAAAGTACAGGGTATGTGTCCTCTCTGTCCTCCAGCTGCCTAAGTGCTCTGCCTGCTGGAAACACCCCAGTAACGGTGAATCCATAGCAGTCATTTAGCTTAGCTCAGATTTTCCAAATGTGTGCTGAAGTCTTTTTGCAAAAGCAAAACAAACTCGTAAAAACAACACACGATAAAGCAAGAAGTAATCAAAACCCAGGCTATCCTTTTAGGTAAATATGCCCTCTACCAAATCCCTCAAAGGACCTTAGAAACATTTGCGTTATTTATTTTCAGAAAACTACAAAAGAAAGGTAACAAGAATTTTCTCTATTTTGCAGTTGGGGGAATTCCGGAGCGAGGAAACTGGGCAATTTGCCTAGGAACCAAAAAACGAGTCACAGTGCAGCTGGAAACAGTTTCAGTGTTGAGGGTCAGGATTGCTTACTCCACGCTGTCCTGATTTCAGGGACAGGATGAAAGGACGTGATGTGCCTGTGCCTGTGACAATGGGCTATTTTTCCTCAGCCAAGGTCCACCGTGAGTAGTCTCCTTGGAGGAAGGATGAGGGCTGGGCCTGTTTGTCCTGCCTTTCCTGGTCTCAGAAGTGGGGAAGACATGGACAGGCTGCTCTCAGAGGTTGGGGGAGGTGAGGACATTGGAGCGGGGGTAGCACAAACATTTTTTGTTGAAGTTGGCCAGAAGGGACCCAAAATACTAACTTCTGATTTGAACTACCATTTCCCATTGTTTGAGGTGGTTTTATGAGGTTGAATTCTGGTAATAACATCAATTCAACGAAAATGTAGATTTTTAGCTAGAGAATTATAGAAAAAACGTTTGGCAAACTAAACATTTAAAATATATTTTTCTAATACTAAAATTCACATATTTCTATGAAATGATCAAAATAACATTTCTTATAGATATCTATTTAACATAAAAATAATTTGATTTAAGCAAATTAGATTTGAATCATAAATATGCATATGTATGTAGCGAGTTCATTTGCACAAAGCAAAATGAGAATTTTTACTTTTGGCTTTACAGGTTGTTTTCTTAATCTTCAAAATTGTTATACAGACTCACTTATTACTTATAACTTGGTAAGAGAGAAGTGCATAGTAAGAACTGAAGGGGTTTTGAACTCAGTGTCTTTTCATGTGGCTTTATTTTGGGAATACTCTTTGGCAGATACCCAAAGTTTTATTGTTTCTGCACCTGTGATTTCTAAAATAATTCATAGGTCAAGAATCTGCAAACAATAAACCTATAACAATAGCTGCCTCCCAGATGTAGATCAGATTTAGAAAGTGTACACAGCCATTAAAGTGTAATGGTTGAGTTTTGATGAAGAATTTACTCTGTTCCTGTCTATGAACTTACCGACATATCTGACATGTCCACACTGCTTGGAGCTTCTAGGCTGTGACATTCATTTTAACCTTTTAGTGTCGAGTTTTCTTTGAGAATTTGATGAAGTTTGAGTAAACACCTGAAGCCCATCAGTGAACCAATCCCTGACTCCTGCCCTCCTTCAGGGCTTCTATGAATTAAGAACCCCTAAATTAGGGGAGGACCAGAGGACACATTATTTTATCAGCCCTCTATGTCTATGGATTCTGGATCCCTGGAGCCTGTTGACTGTGGATCAAAAATATTTGAAAAAACTACAATGGTTCTTAACATTGTTTCTTAGACAATTCAGAATGGCAGCTATTTACCTGGCATTTACACTGTATCATGTATTATAAATAAGCTAGGCATGGCGGTGTATGTGTGTGCAGGTTACTGTGCTTTGTTAATGTAGGGACTTGAGCATGGTCAGGTGAGTACCCTTGGGGTTCTGTGCTGACTTCCGTGTGCATGCAGATGGATGACTGCCACCAGTCCTCAGACACTGAACTTCTTACAGCCAGCACAAGTCCCTGCGTGACAGGAGTCTCAGAGACAAAACATGCTCAGGTTGTCAGAAGGTGGCAGGACTCCCTCAGAGTCCTCAAGGGCCCCAGGTAGGAAGTTTGGGTGCAGAGATTTGTAGGTAAAGCAGACTATCTGTAGCAATATTGCGGTGGGGGTACCTGGCCTGTGGGACCCTCTTTTTTACTTACCCAATATAGCGGTTTGCTAGGACTCCCACAACAAACTACCGCACACTGTGTAGTTCAAACTAGAGCTCTGGATGTGGAACTCCAAGGTTAGGCTTCTCTGAGGTCCCTCTTGCTCCTCCTCACTGTGTCCTTGCATGGTCTTTCTCCCGTGCATGACTCTTGTGTCTTTGTTGAATTAGACTTCAACATTATGATCTCATTTAATTTTAATTTTTCTCTTTAAAGCCTCTGTCTCCAAAGAGTCACACTGGGGATTAAAGCTTCAGTGTATGAATTTTCTTGGGGGAATTCAGTGCATATTATCTCATTGTGTCTTTAAACCCCTGATGTTTAATTCTTGCTTCGGAAGCTGATACTCAGGGTCTAATTCTAGATTAGGTACTCACCTCTGCCTGTATAGTCTTCCCTGACCGCCAGCACTGTATCCTGGAACCGAGTCATCTTTGGTTTCTCTGTCCAGTCTTGGTTATCAACCCCTAGGTCAATTTCTGATTATGGGCTTTTGTGGGACTTTGCCGTAGCCATTCTGTGCCAGCCCAGTCCACACTTTCTATTAGGTCTTGGGCTGAAGCTTGTCATGCAGGAGGCATTAAATAAGCAAGAGAGGATCAAAATATGCACAGTGTTTTGTTAAATAGAATGTGACTAATGAAATTAGCCTCTTCCCCTAATAATATTCTTTGAAGCAAAAGAAATAAAAATAAAACAGTAAAGACAGGTTAGGACTAGGTGCATTTTATATGTTAGATTAAACAGGTTAACCTTTGTACGTTAGGTGGAGAGAATTCTAGAGAGCTTTTCTGTTGATGGCTAGGAAGTGTAGGAAGTATCAGGGTAGGTTATGCTGCAATAACAGTGAGCCCCAAAATACCAGAGACTTACCACAATAAAGGTTTTCATTACTGTTGCTCTTTTGTTTTACTCATTGTTCGTCTTCACTGCAATCTTGTTACACACTTTCACTCCAGGATCCAGGCTGACAGAGCAGTTCCTTTGATAGAAGAAAAAGATATGGAAGATCATGTTTGGTTCTTAGATCTGTGTGGGTGAGATCTACGTCACCTCCACCCGCATTTCATCAGTGAGAGAGCTTCACAGGTGCACTGGCTGCTGGGGAGCCGGAGGTGTGACCTTTCTGCACAGCTCAGGACCCACAGGTGAGAGAAGCAGAAGACAGGTGTTAACCAGGAATGGGAGTGTGGAAGACCCTTTTGAAAAAGTATTAGGAAAAGGACTAAAAGGAGACAGAACAAGTAGAAGCAAAATTTTACAAAAGAAGGGAGAGAAGAAATAAAGGGGAAAAGGTAGAGGACCATAAGAAAAGAAATGTGCTCTATAAAAAATACAAGTAAACATTGGAGGGAAATGTGACAATAGAAATGTAAGAAGTTAACATATAAAACATGTAAGGAGCTCTAACAACTTGACAGGAAGACAAAATGACTTGGTTTTAAAAAAATGGTCAAAAGATTTCAAGGAAGCCTGCCAGTGACCAGAGTGCTTGGCTTCACTGACCATTAAAGAAATGCAGATGAAAACCACAGTGATCTCTCACCCCAGGCAGGATGGATCTTACCAATAAGCCAAAATGTAAGGGGGCTGGGGACTTAGCTCAGCGGCATAAGCGCCTGCCTTGCAAGCAGGCAGTCATGAGTTCGATCCCTGGTACCGATAAAAACGAAAAAGACAAAAAAAAAAAAAAAAAAAAAAAAAAAAGACAAAATGTAGCACATGAGGATGTGGGAAAGAGAAACACATTGCTGATAGGAATGTGAATTAATACACATGTTCTAGAAAACAGGAAGTTCCTCCAAAGAATTACCATGTGATCCAGCATGTTGGAAAGTCACCTGCACATCCATGTTTACTGTAGCGCTACCCACAATAGTTAAAATATGGAATCAGCCTAAATATTCATTGTGTTAGTCAGCTCTCCTGGTGCTGGGCAACAATAACTGAGATCCACAGTAAGATGGAGAGAGGTTTTATCTGGCTCATGGTTTCAGTTGAGATTTAGCCTGTGGTCAGCTTGCTCCAAGGCAGAAACATCACGGCAGAAGAGCCAAGCTGCTTAGTTCATGACAGCTGTGAAGTGGAGCAGGGAATCAGCAGAGACATGGGCCAGGGCCTGTACACAGTACCTGAGGCCACGCCTCCACGACCCACCAGACTCATCCAGAGGTTGTGCCTTCACCAAAACCTAGGAGACTCCCAGGCCAATCAAATTGACACAACCAAGATAATCTTCACATCCATCCATGGGTGAATAGATGGAGGAAATGTAGCACACACATACATGTGCACACACACACACATGCACACATACACACACACGCATGCGTGCACACACAAATTCTTTACAGCTGAAAAAAAGGAAAGAAATTGTGCCATTTGCTACAACATGAATGAAGCTGGAGGACATTGTTAAGTGATTATAATAAACCCAATAGAAGAACAAATTCCACAAGATTGGCTGCAGCCGCCCCAGGAGAAGAACCACCAGCGACTCCTGAGTTGCACGCCATGTTGGAACTTGGGATGCTGGGAAACCAAGCAACCAGTTCACCTCCCTGGTAAGTGGCTGTGGTGTGGCAGGCTGCGGCCACCCCAACGGGAGAACCACCACTGTCTCCTGAGATCTGCACCATGTTGGAACTTAGGGGAATGGGAAACCAAGCAACCAGCCTGCCTCCCTGCTAAGCAATAGTGAGCCTACCAGGGCACGGACTGAGAGTCAAACATCCTACTTCTCCTGCCCCTCATTAGCAAATGGGAACTAGAGATCTGAGCATCTCTTGGGAGGTTGACCCTATGCAAAATAGCAAGTAAGGGGGGTTTCCTTCTACCATTTCTTTGAAGGCAAATATTTTTACTACTGTTTTGCATTATTCTGATTGATGGTAGTGTTCTATTCAATATTCTGTTTTGATAAATTCTATAATGTTCTGTACTTCATTTTATTTTGCTGTACGTGATTGAAAGGACAACTATTGTGAAGATAACGAGATACACTGTGATACCTATTACTGTTATCCTGGTAACCTGCTGTGATGTTCTGTACCAATTTCACTACACTGTCTCAATTAGCTTTGTTCTGTCTTATTCTGTTGTATTTTACTACCTTCAAACTAATAAAAAAAAGAAGAAAAATTCCACAAGGTCTTGCTCACACATATACTTTAAAAAAGTTGATCTCTTAAGAGTAGAAAGTATAGTGGTTATGACACAAAGCTGAAGTAGTTGAGAAGGAGAGCTCTTTGTCAAAGGAGTGTGGTCACACTATCTAAGTGTGGTTACACTTAGATAAGAGGAAAGAATGTCAAGGTGTCTGTGTACACCAAGGTTGTTATTGCTGATAAGAGTGTACTGTAGTCTTATAAGACATATATACACAGTAGCTATATGTGTTCTCACTACAAAAATGATAGCGATCGGCAGTAAAGCTGTAAGTAGCTAGGTCCTGCCCTTCCCTAATATGCACATGCAGTCACGCCTGCACAGTGACATTCAGGTCCATGATGGACCACATGTACAATAGTGGTCCCAGAGGTCATGTTGCTTAGTGTACTGTGCCCATTGTGGTTTGTTTGAGTCCTTCTTCTCTGTGCAGTGATGAGCTCACACGACACATTTCCGAGACTGTGTCCACATCACTGAGAAATGTATCACTATGCTTCAGTACATCCTCTTGTACACAATAAAAATGTATAAAGTTATTCATCAACTAAAAGCTTAAAGGTAAATGTAGGGTCATACTAGCTTAGAGCAATAACAACCCTATCAATCTATAGAGTTTTAAGAGGTAATTTCAGTTTCCTACGGCTGCCAAAACAAATTCCCACAAATTGAGGTATTTAAAACCACAAAAATGTATTTCCTTGAGGCTCAAAAGGTTCAAAATCTGAAATCAAGGTGCCAGCATGCTTTCAGAAAGACTGCTTGTATCTTCCTGGCTTCTGGTGGCTCCCCGAAATCCTTAGTGCTTCCTGGCTAGTAGCTGGATTGCACCCATGTCTGCTTCTGTCTTCCCATGGCCTTCTCCCTTTGATCTCTCTGTGTGCTTTCCTAGTCTTGTAACAACACTTGCCATTAGATTTTGAGCCCACTGTAATGTATCATAACCTCAAAAAAATTATATCTTGAAAGACCCGTTTTCAAATAACTCACCTTCACAAGATGACAGGTTGAAACTTGAGCATATCTTTTTGGAAGTCAGAATTTAAAGACATTCCATTGTCTGGCCACCCAAATTCATTTCTTTTTTTTTTTTTTAATTTTATTTAAAAGGAAAAAGAGAAAAAAACAGAACAAAACAAAACAGTGTAAGGGTACAAGTAATATAGAACTACAAAAAAAAAAAAAAAAACCAGTAAGAAATCACCAGTTAATAGATTACACATTATCATCTTAGATATAGTGGTTCAGGTCACAGGATCAAAGCATACAAAGCGGACATTCAAATAGTGAGACTGCAAACAGTTGTGTTCAATGATCCAACCAAAAACATTAATATGGTCATCTATTTAACACACCTAAACAACACTTGCTGTTGTATCATTTAGAGCACTTTTTTTTCCCTCTCTTTATTACAACAAAATTTACACATTTTGGGTTTTATTACTCCCATAGTTCTTATTACTTTTTTTTGGAAGAGAATAAAATCAAATATGACAAAACAAAGCTGTCAGTCAAAACCAAGGATAGACATAGTACATGATGTAAAAACAGAGTACAAGGTTATCAACAGTGGTTTCCATAATGCCTCTTGCTTCCTTAAGAATTGTCTATCTCATTAGGTATTATAAAGTTGAACAAAACAGTAGAGAACAAGACCAATAAAACCTAAACATTGTAAACATTACAGAACTTCAAAAGAGGATAGTAGTCAAACCAGAATGAGATCCATAGTGAATCTTATTGCCTTCAAAGTAGTTGCCTATACACTCAAACTTGATACTATCATACAGGATGGAACAGAGTCTAATCAGTCAAAACAAGATAGTGGGAGCATTACAGGACTTCAAATCAAGTTAATAGGAAATCAAAAAGCTTACTATAATATATCCTGCTAATTTTTTTTATTTTTTCCCCTTAGTTAAAAAAGTAATAGAAAATAATTAAATAATTTTCTTAATGAATAAGGGAGCGATTGAGATAAAAGAGGACATAACAACATAACAATACAGGTCAAAGCATGACAGTTTCAGCAACCTAATGCTTCACCACCAAATAACCCGACTTAATAGTAGTTACCATAGTGTCTTTTTCCTTGAAATATTTGAATATAACTTTGTATGCTAGAGCATCAAACATATCAAGACAGTGTAAAACCATTCAAGTGGATGAAAGCATTGTAGGGTAGTTAGAACCAGCTAACAGAAAATGAACAATAGTTTCTATATCTCTTTGCCTATAACAATTTTTGTTTATAATAAAATCCAGCAAAATACAACATGATAAAACCAATGGAGACAGAAGAGCCATAGTTTGGTGGGGCTTCAAAACAAGATGCTATTAAATCAGCACTAGCTATTATGATGTCTTGTTTTCTTCAAAATAGCTGTTCATTTCATCGCAGGCAATAATATCAAGCAGCCCAGTATAAAGCCATTCCAATTAATAAGTGAAAACTATATAAGGCTTCAAGGCCACATAATGGGGAATCATGATTACCACATACTTTTATATATTTGAATCTTTTCCTACACTAGGGAAACTATTTGGTATTCACACATGTGAGTTTGATTTATTTCACTTATGAGTATGGTTTCAAGCTGTGCCCATTTATTGATAAATATCTCAATGTGATCCTTCTTTATACCTGAGTAGTACTCCATTGTATAGAAATACCACAACTTTTTTATCCATTCCTCAGTTGATGGACACTTGGGTTATTTCCAAGATCTGGCAATTACAAATTGTGCTGCTATAAACATAGGTGCGCATATATCACTGTGGTATAATGCTTTCAGTTCTTCTGGGAATATGCCTAGAAGTGGAATAGCTGGAACAAATGGGACTTCCAATCCCAGCTTTTTGAGAAATCTCCAGACTGGCCTCCACAAAGGTTGTACCAGTCTACACTCCCACCAACAGTGTAGGAGAGTTCCTTTTTCCCCACAGCCTCTCCAGCATTTGTTGTTGTTGGTTTTCTTGATCCTGGCCATTCTTTCAGGAGTGAGATGGAATCTCAGTGTGGTTTTAATTTGCATTTCCCTAATGACCAATGATGATGAACATTTTTCATGTATTTATTTGCCATTTGTATTTCTTCATTTGAGAAGTGTGTATTCATCTCAGATGCCCATTTTTGGATTGGATCTTTGAATTTTGGGGGTCTAAGTTTTTTAATTCTTTATATGTTTTAGACAAAGGTCCCTTGTCTGAGGGGGAGTTCACTAAGATCTTTTCCCAGTTTGTGGGTTTTCTTTTCACTATGCTGGAGTTTTTTTTTGACATGCAGAAACTTTTTAATAAGAGATGGTAACAGTTATTGATTCTGGGAAGTATTTCCCGTGCAGTTTGAGTCCTGTTCATGAATTCTCTACCTACCCTTATGTCTTCAAGGTTTCTACCTAATTTTTCTTCCAATAGATTTAGTGTTTCTGTTTTAATATTCAGATCTTTGATCCATTTAGATTTTAATTTAGTACCTGGTGATAGGCATAGGTCTAGTTTTAGTTTTTGGCAAATGGAGAGGCAGTTTTTCCAACACCATTTATTAAAGAGAGTGTCATTCTTCCAATGAAAATGCTTGGCTCCTTTATCAAAGATAAGGTGGTTGAGTGTGGTTGTATCTTCTAATCTATTCCATTGATCTTCGGCTCTGTTTTGATTCTAGTACCATGTTGATTTTACTACTGTTGCTTTGTAGTATAACTTCAAGTCAGGGATTGTGATGCCTCCTGCTTTGCCTTTGCTGCTTAGAATTGCCTTTGCTATTCTAGGTCTCTTCTGTATCCAGATGAATTTTAGGAGTGATTTCTCTAATCTATAAGGTATGTTGATGGTATTTTTATTGGGATTGCATTGAATCTGTATAACAGTTTTGGGAGAATGGCCATTTTCACAATGTTTGTTCTTCCTATCCATGAACATGGGATGTCTTTCCATTTTCTGAGATCATCTTCAATTTCTTTTTTTAGTGTATTATAATTTTCCCAGTAGAGGTCTTTCAGTTCTTTTGTAAGAGTAATTCCTAAATATTTTATTTTTTTGCTTGCTAGTGTGAAGAGTGTGGCTTCTCTTATTTCTCTATCTGTGATTTTGTTGTTAGTGTATAGGAATGCTATTGATTTCTGAGTATTGATTTTGCATCCAGCTACATTACTGAATTTATTTATTATATCTAAGAGTCTTTCAATGGAATTTACGGGGTCTTCTATGTAGAGTATTATGTCATCTGCAAACAATGATAATTTAACTTCTTCTTTTCCTATCTTTACCCCTTTTATTTCTCTCTCTTGTCTAATTGCTCTGGCTAGTACTTGCAGTACTATATTAAATAGGAGTGGTGATAAAGGACATCCTTGTTCTAAGTTGCTCTAGTGTGGTTAAAAAAAAAAAAGAGGACATCCTTGTCTTGTACCTGATTTTAAAGTAAAGGCTTTCAATTTTTGGCCATTTAGTATGATACTGGCTGTTGGTTTGTCGTAGATGGCCTTTATTATATTGAGGTAAAGACCATCTATTCCAATTTTTTGTAAAGTTCTTATCATGAATGAATATTGGACCTTATCAAAGGCTTTTTCTGCATCTATAGAAATGATCATGTGATTCTTATTTTTGGCTTTATTGATATGGTGGATTACATTTATTGATTTGCATATGTTGAACCATCCTTGCATTCTTGGGATGAATCCCACTTGGTCATGGTGTGTAATCTTCTTGATGATTTGCTGCATCCTATTTGCCAATATTTTATTAAGGATTTTTGCATCTGTGTTCGTTAGGGAGATTGGTCTATAGTTCTCTTTTTTAGTTGGGTCTTTCTCAGGTTTTGGTACTAGAGTAATATTTGCTTCCAGGAATGACTTAGGAAGGATTACTTGCCTTTCAATTTCATTGAATAGTTTGAGGAGTGTCAGCATTAGGTCTTCTTTGTATTTCTTGTAGAATTCTACAGTGAATCCATCTGGGCCTGGGCTCTTCTTTGTAG